CACACTGTTTTCCATAGTGGCTGTACTAATTTGCATTCCCACCAACAGTGTAAGAGGGTTCCCTTTTCTCCACACCCTCTCCAGCATTTATTGCTTGTAGACTTTTGGATAGCAGCCATCCTGACTGGTGTGTAATGGTACCTCATTGTGGTTTTGATTTGCATTTCTCTGATAATGAGTGATGTTGAGCATCTTTTCATGTGTTTGTTAGCCATCTGTATGTCTTCCTTGGAGAAATGTCTGTTCAGTTCTTTGGCCCGTTTTTTGATTGGGTCATTTATTTTTCTGGAGTTGAGCTGGAGGAGTTGCTTGTATATTTTTGAGATTAATCCTTTGTCTGTTGCTTCATTTGCTATTATTTTCTCCCAATCTGAGGGCTGTCTTTTCACCTTGCTTATAGTTTCCTTTGTTGTGCAAAAGCTTTTAAGTTTCATTAGGTCCCATTTGTTTATTTTTGCTTTTATTTCTAAAATTCTGGGATGTGGGTCATAGAGGATCCTGCTGTGATTTATGTCGGAGAGTGTTTTGCCTATGTTCTCCTCTAGGAGTTTTATAGTTTCTGGTCTTACATTTAGATCTTTAATCCATTTTGAGTTTATTTTTGTGTATGGTGTTAGAAAGTGTTCTAGTTTCATTCTTTTACAGGTGGTTGACCAGTTTTCCCAGCACCACTTGTTAAAGAGGTTGTCTTTTTTCCATTGTATATCCTTGCCTCCTTTGTCCAAGATAAGGTGACCATAGGTTCGTGGATTTATCTCTGGGCTTTCTATTCTGTTCCATTGATCTATATTTCTGTCTTTGTGCCAGTACCATACTGTCTTGATGACTGTGGTTTTGTAGTATAGTCTGAAGTCAGGCAGATTGATTCCTCCAGTTCCATTCTTCTTTCTCAGGATTACTTTGGCTATTCGAGGTTTTTTTAGAACAAACTTCTGAAATTCACTCGTGGCTCAAGAAGTTATAGTGATGCTTGAAATTGCTACTGTTTCTATTTCAATCATTTTTTGAGAATCAATAATTCATAATTTTAATTATAATAATTTTTAAAATGTTTAATTTAATCATCATGAAAAACATTATCCAAGCATATATATATATATATATATATATATATATATATATATGTATATACACTTTAAAAGTACACCTAAAGTCTTGAAAAACTATTGGCTTAGCTTTCATTCCTTAAGATTTCAGACACCCATATTGACACCTATTAACTATAACATAAATCTTGCATTCTCTATTGATTTTTAGTAAGTTCTGTGTTATTGAAGAAACCAGATATCTGCAAGCCTCCCACCTGTTACAACAGCAACCTGAAGTCCATGCCCAATGTCTGCATGCAATTTTATAAGGCACAGACAATGAAGCAATCATGTTTCATGGATAAGAAGAAATAAATGAAAAAATAGCATTCTCATTTTGAGTAAAAGGAGTGAAACCTCTTCCATTGATCAAGTCTTAAGGGCACAGGGGACGCTGGCCGTGTTCCCCTGGCCCCACCTCGTGCTCCCCCAGGGGCAGCAGTGGAGGCGGCCCCCCTTCCCACCCCCACCCCACCCCACCCCAGGCCGAGGGCATCACTCCTGGAGACTGAGATCAGTTCTCAGGCTGTGAACACCTGGGGCAGATGGCCCTTCTGCCAAACTCTGAAGAGCAGGAGTTCAAAGATAAAGCTGTGAAAGGGAAGACAGGTGCAGGAGAGAGATTCCTGGAGGCCGTCCTGGAGTGTGGTCTATAAAGGAGGAATGTGAAGTGAGGAAGGCCCTAATAAAGGAAAAATTAATTAAGATCTAGCCATCGACTTGACCTTGCGTGTGGTTCATCAAGTCGGCTGGGAGGGCAAAACAATGTGACTGGAAACACTCTCTTCCAGAGACTAAAGGGTGGAAAGTCTGATGGGCGAGGTTATCGTCAGGGGTGATAAATCATACACTGCAACCCTTTGCTTAGTGTTTAAAATATTGTTTAAATGAGTGATGTTTGTACCTGCCATGTTAATAGTCTTTCAGGGAATACGTGGCAGAAGATTAAAAAGAACATGGATTCATAAAGAAAGCAAATAATGAGAGAGGGGGTTAATATCTCACGTAATAATTTCTCCACCTTTCTGGATAGGTCAACTGTTCTAGAAACTCACACCCAGTAACCATAAATCTCCCGGCCTGAGTCATGATAATGGCAAGAGACAGTAGGTAACAATTGCTGAACAAGTGAAAAATACGAAAAAAAAAGGTTTTTAGCCAATTAAACACCCCCAGCTTTTTGAGCATCACCATAAACGGTGCTGGAAACCATTGAGTTACCGTGGCCTAGATCTGTTTCCTGGGAGTATCACAAAAGTGTTGATCAAGGATTTTTTCACTTGAGCCAATTCCACGAGACGCGCTCCCCCCTCTTCCATTAGCTGATTTGCTCTTGCTTGCCGCCCGGAAAATGCTAAGCAGTGTGCTCCAGCCACACAAAGTGGGCTGGTTGTCCTGCAGCCTTGAGTGTTCCCCCAGGACCCTCGGGCATTTCTCGGTCTTTTAAGCTGTCGTGTGTGGTCCCTGGGCATCCAATCTGTTAAATGAATTAGGCCTTGACTGTTCCATGCAGCCTGCCTGCGCTGCTCTGGCATTTTCTAGCACGGGTCCCCATCCATTACTGAGGCGTGGCCAATCCTCGCGCCGTAAATCATCGGGACACGGCGCCCTTTCTCCCTCCCAGGTCCGGCAGTCCCCCAGCTTCCCTGAATTTATGTCAGCGCAGCCCTCGAGGAGGCTGTCTGAGGGTCTGTGCTGTGTTTGGGTTTAACTGAATTAATCACACGTTTCCTTTTTCTCTGCATCTCAGACAGACCTTAGATGCAGAGAGTCTTTACAAGTAGCCTTAAGCTCTAGTATTGGATATTTCAAATACAAGTCCAAAGCCCATAAATGTGTGATGACAACATCTCACAACAATAAGGGATGAGTTTATTCTTGTCACTCATGAGCTAGATGTGCAAAGGCAGGTGTGAAAATAAAAACAGAGAAGATACTAATGAAGGGGTTCTGGTCCCAGATGTGAGGAGAGCCGGCTCACCGGCCTTCGCCTTCGCCTCTGTCTCATCTACAGACTCCAGAGTTGTTCAGTTTCTAACTTCATCGTCACCTCTACGAGCACTCTCACGCCCACCCACGGGCATGCTCTGACCCATTGTGCTACAAATATAAGCTCCTTTCATTCTGTGTTCATTCTGGGCCAGTCTCTGCTCCTAGAACTTGATTCACTAACCTGGGCTTCCTGCTTGTAAGCCCCACTCTCCCACCCCTGAGGTAGGCACGCCTATTCTGCACATTTTACAGATGGCAACGCTGAGGCTAGAAGGGAGTCTGAGGCTGATCCAAGGGCTGGAACTGAAACTTGTCCTGCAGCTGGTTACAGAGGCTCCGCTATAAACCCTGTTTACACAGAGACAATGCCAGAAAGAGTCACACATGGAATGACAACCCAGCGAGTTGCCCTGATGCATCTGTGTTGTTTATAGATGTATCTCTTCACTACCTGTAGCTTCATTCAGGTTCCAAATGCTTTGGTTGTAATCTGGATACTATACATCCTTTTCATTTTGTATTCATTCATTCAATTGCCATGCATCAATCAGTAATAAGGCCTCAGTTGAGAATATGGAATGGAAAGAAAATAAATTACCCTAAATACACAGGTACCACCCCTCTGTAGCGTGACATGAGGGAACGTAGGGTCCTGAGCTTCAGTGCAGGATGGCTTGCGGCGGGGGTGGGGGGTGGGGGGCCATGTCCCCCCTGGGCTGGGGAACTTGCTGGTGCTTGAAGCAGCAGAAGGAAGCAAGGTTTAGAGAGCCGTGTGAGCCCCAGGAGCGGGACCAGACAGAGTTGTGAAGCCAAGTAATTCACTGCAGCAAGATTCCAATGCTACTTTGTGGGGCATGATACTTACACAGCCTTTAAGGAAAATATCTATTATGCGTGAAAGAGCCTGTAGGAGGGTCTCTGAAGCTTCCAGGTCAACCAGCCAGGAGCTGCCCTGAAGTAAGAGGGGTGGGGCTGCTGATGGAGAAGGAGGGGGCAGGACAGGGTCTGCCAAGACGGGGAGCCCAGACCCCACACTGTCCAAGGCAGGCTGCATGTAATCAGATGAAACCTCGAGAGAGTCCTCTGGGGACTCAGCAGTGTCTGCATGGAAGGCATACACAAGTCACACACATGCACATGAGTATACTCACAGGTTCACATGTGTGTGAGCGTACACACCAGCTGCGGGCACACAAGGGCAAACACACGTGCATGCATGCAGTGGCTCACACCCACACCACACAAGCACCCGCACACGCAAACCCTCACAAGCTGGTCACACGGTGCGCGGGGAAAACGCCCAGAGGAGGCTCGGAGCTGCTGTGATTCTGACGTCGAGAAGGTTACAAGTCCCTCCACTGTGGGTCGTCCCCAAGAAAGCATTTTAGGAAAGAGAAGAAAGCGGGCTGTGTATGCTTCCCCACCTGCTTCTGGAGTGTCTTGTTTACTTCATTCTGGGGGCAGCTGTCCATCTCTGGTGCTGATTCACCGACCCGACACCCCACAGCTCTGCAACTGGTCTCTTTTCTGTCATTTCCATCCGTGTGGAATTACTGTCCAACTTCAGATACCCAGGGCACATAAGCCCTAAAGTAACAAACCCCTGTAAATCGAGAAAAAGGAATGCCAGCTCGACTCCCACCTGGAAGGGCTTATGTACTGCCGGGACTCCGTGATTGCACCTTGTTTTAAATTCTTATGTATTCACTTCATAAAAATAGTCTATAATTTATACTGATGAATTTATCAATAGGAAAGAAAAGATACTGCAGCAAGATATAAAAAATTACCTGCCCAAATCATGATTTATGCCAATTTTGAGGCTTCTCCTCTATTATTCATGTGCTCAGGACCTTTCATCTTGACATTTACTTCACATTATAAAACGGGGCCCCTCTCTGCGATGTCTTCATCTGAGCCTCAGGCAGGCAGGAGTGGACTGAAGTCAGGGCTTCGAGTCTTGACAGCGCCCGTGAGGACACGGCCAGCCGTCACGAGGGCAGGTGAGGAGTCAGCAGAGCCCACGCGAGGGCACGGATTCCCACGGAAGCCCCCGGCTCCGCGTGAAGAAATGACCCAGCTCTTTTCCTGATCGGAAGCAGGGCTGTTTTCAGTTGACCGCTGCATGTTGGCGCGAAAGCTGAAAGGCACTGTGAAGCCATTAATGTTAAATTTGGAAGAATACATGATTTGAGCGCCGGAAAGGAGCTGGCAGGAGGGGAAGAAGCAAACCAAACCCGGAGACGGCAGTGCCTGTCCGCACTCCTGCTTTCCCATGTGACGCTTCGACGGTGACTCCAAGCTCAAAGACGCCAGGAAGCACAGAGGCGTTGAAAGAGCCCCCCCGGGGCAGGGCAGGGGTTGCGGGGCGGGCAGTGCGGGGCGCGGCGGGAGGGCTGAGAAGGAGGCGCCTGGGACGAGGCCGCGGCGGCGTCCGGCGGGGCCAGGCAGAGAAGCGCGGATCCAAGCGCTGCCGGCGCCGTTCCGGGCCCCGCAGGCCCCTCCGTCTGATCCCGACCACAGCATCTCGTCTTTCTTACCTGAGCCCTGTCACCTCATACCTTTGGGTACCAGAGCCCACGTAAAACCTCCAACACGCTCGCCTCTGTATGTAGAATGGGGGTAAAGCTCAAGCCATGGGCTCCAGTGTGAAGGAAGCAGAACTTCCTGCAGACACTGCTCCCATTTCTGTCTGGAATCTTCTTTCCGAGGGGGAGGCAGAAACTTAAACCTGTATCAGATGCCATCTTCCCTGCTTTGCTGTCTGTGCGGAGGTTTACAGAGACCAAGGCGTGGGTGCTTATCTTGACCTTAGTGTTCTCCCCTCCCAGGATGCTGTGGGGGGGGGGGGAAACTTGGTCCAAGCAGGTTGTTGTCACCTGCCCCTCCTGCGGTCCCCTCTCCGGATCTCATCCTGTGGCTCCGCCCTGGAGGACCCTCTCCATTTGTGGCTCAGCTCTGTAAAGAGCCCCATCCCTCCAGAATGAAGTGCGACCGGGAAAGTGCCGGGCTCCATCCTGAACTCTCTAGGGTCTTCTTGTTGTTGTTCAGTCTCTAAGTTGTAACTCCTTGCGACCCCGGGGACTGTAGCACACCAGGCTTCCCCATCCTTCACTATCTCCCAGAGTTTGCTCAAACTCACGTCCATTGAGTAGATGATGCCATCCAGCCATCTCATCCTCTGTTGGCCCCTTATCCTCCTGCCTTCAATCCCTCCCAGCATCAGGGTCTTATCCAATGAGTTAATTCTTCTCATCAGGTGGCCAAAGTATTGGAGTTTCAGCTTCAACATCAGTCCTTCCAATGAACACCCAGGACTGATTTCCTTTAGGATGGACTGGTTGGATCTCCTTGCAGTCCAAGGGACTCTCAAGAGTCTTCTCCAACACCACAGTTCAAAAGCATCATTTCTTTGGTGGTCAGCTTTCTTTTTGTCCAACTCTCACATTGATACATGACTACTGGAAAAACCATAGCTTTGACTATGAACCTTTCTTGGTAAAGTGATGTCTCTGCCTTTTAATATTCTGTCTAGGTTTGTCATAGCTTTTCTTCAAGAAGCAAACCTTTTTAAATCTCATGGCTGTGCTCACTGTCTGCAGTGATTTTTGGAGTGACCAATTGCCCTACTATCCCATTCAGGCTAGCTTTATTTTTTTATTTGCTTCTCCATTTACTTTATTTTCTCTCCCCAGATTTACTGAGGTATAATCAATGTTTGTAAAACTCCACAGAATTCATGTAAACAGTTTTGTGAATTTGGATTCACCATCGTATCGCCATTATTGTACAAGGTAACGGACATATATGCACCCACTTCCAAATGTTTCCTTAAGTCTCTTTGTTTTGTTTTATTAATATTTGGGGGATAAGAGTAGATAACAGTAGATCTATGTGACAAACACATAGTGAGTGCAAGATACCTTATTGTTGGGCTTGCCTGGTGACTCAGATCCAGGTTCTATCCCTGAGTCAGGAACATTTCCTGGAGAAGGGAGTGGCTACCCACTCCAGCATTGTTGCCTGGAGAACCCCGTTGTTGCCTGGAGAACCCCGTGGTTGCCTGGAGAACCCCGTGGTTGCCTGGAGAACTCCGTGGTTGCCTGGAGAACTCCATTGTTGCCTGGAGAACTCCATGGTTGCCTGGAGAACTCCGTTGCCTGGAGAACTCCGTGGTTGCCTGGAGTACCCCGTTGTTGCCTGGAGAACTCCGTGGTTGCCTGGAGAACTCCGTGGTTGCCTGGAGAACTCCGTGGACAGAGGAGCCTAATGGGCTACAGTCCATGGGGTTGCAAAGAGTCAGACATGACTGAGTGTCTAACACTTCCACTTTCATACCTTATTGTTATTTGTGGGCAGAATGTTGTGGGCAGCCGTCTGGAAACAACACACCCTGTGTGCTTATGACTTTTACCCACAGAGAGCGGCTCCCCTCCCCGTGTGCCTCTCTCTAGCCGAGGCAGCCAGCGCTCCTGTGTCTGCTTCCACACACTGGCCTACTTTTCAACCAAGAGGAGTCACCCTCCATTTGTCCTTCTGTGTCTGGCTTATTTCACTGACCGTGATGTCCTCCAGGTTCATCCACCTTGTTGCAAATGGCAGGTTTCCCATCTTTTTAAAGGTTAAATACCACGCTGTTTGTAGAGACTGCAATTTTAAATCAAGTCCTTAAGATGCTGTCTGTCTTGTGTTCTGGTGAGAGACTCAAGGTCACAGTGGCAGACACAAGTACTGCAGGGTCATGTGATGATCAGCACAGTCTGCAGGTAAACACAACTGTGTCAATCCATGGTCCAGCATGGGAGCCGGGACGCCAGGAGAACTGCGGCTAAAAATAAAAGGAGATAATGATCAGAGCATGCATAAAATATAGACTGCACTCAGGCCCAAATACTCACCGTTTTACTCTCTTAAGAAGCAGTTTTAGCTCCTGTTTTTCCTGTCCGGTGAACAATCTGGCCATTGCCTTCAAAGGGCTGCCTACAGCCTCACTTGGCATGAACTTGGGGTACAGCAGAGCACCCCAGAACCCAGGAACTTCTCCCTTCTTGTTAGTTCTGACCAATTAGTGTCAATTTGCCTACTGGAAATCTCACTGTCACATTTGGAATACGTGATGTTTAAATTTTGTGTCGACTTGATTGGCTATAGTTCAGTTTTGTTTTTTTTTTAATAAAACACCAGTCCAGGTGCCACTTCAAAGTATTTTGTAGACATCATTTACTTCTACAATCAGTTGGCTTTAAGTAAGGAAACCAACCTTCCTCATGGGGCCTTATCCAATTCCTTGAAGGCTTTAAGAGAAAAGCCGAATTTACCTGAAGAAGAATGAATTCTTCCTCAAGACTGTCCTGTGGAAACCCCGCCTAAGCTTCTAGACTGTGGTCTTGCCAGGCCCCACCGCTACAAGAGTCTAGTCCTTCACATGAATCTCTTGCTGTCTCCATCTTTGTCTCTGTCATCCGAATCCATCTCTACATATATATCACCTATTTCTATATTTATCTCCATTTCTACTTTTATATCATCTGTGTCTACATCTACATCTATACGTGAATTGTGAAATACAATTTATAATTAATGGCAAGACAAGAAAAATGTAAACATGCAAACCTGTCTCTGCCCCTTGGCCTCCTGCCTCCCTGCACTGTGCCCCGTTGGTCTGTATTAGGCATCGCCCACACTTACCCATCCACAGAAATAGCTGCTCAGCCATAAAGAACAGCCTCCTCCCAGCAACCCCAAGACAGTTCCTGAAAAGACAACATTTCTTCTTGATCTTGTGAGGGGCCACAACGACCCACCACCTTACCTCTAGATATCTGGACTGTGCCAACAATTTACATCATTTAATGCACAGCCACCTGTCTGAAAAAATCTACATCACTTTGCTTTGACCTCTGTCGGGCAAAAGACTTTACAGAATTTTCTGAGAGGCAGCTCCCTGATAATAATCAGCAAATTGACTCCAATAAAATTTTCCATTTCTTTTTTAGATTGACTGATGAATTTTTCGTCTACAGTGTCATCCATAGCATCTCTCTCTCTGTCTCTCTGCATATACCTGTGCTGTCTACATAGCCCCACACTTGTGTCTCACTCTACAGCTCTGTGTACACATCTTGCTGATTCTGTCTCTCTGAAGAGCCCTGCAAGCACAGGGTCTATGACCTGGCTCTGCCAAAGGTCCGATCCAAGCATTTCTGACCATCGGGAGCATCAGAACTTAGGTCGCCTTTTTTATTTTTTTTTTGGACATAGACTTCTTCTGTCCTTTGCTCTATTTTTTTCATCAAAAAATTTATGTGGCACTATGTCGCTTTAGCATATATTATAAATAATAATGGGCTTCCCAGGTGGCGCTAGTGATAAGTACCCATCTGCCAATGCAGGAGACATAAGAGACACAGGTTTGCTCCGTGGATCTGGAAGATCCATACTTAGCTATGTAATATTTTCTATGTATCACACTACACTCTATTGCATTATGCTGTGTTGGGTGTGTGTGCGTGTGCCAACTATCTCTGCCCACAAGAGGACTGGAAGGTGTAGAAAGGTTGGGTTTACCTATTATCTTCTCTGCCATGTCTCATCACCTAAACTCATTCTTGGCTCCTTGTAGATGCTCAGTAAGTATACAGAAGCATGCAGATGACATTTCAACTCCATTCATGCATATTCACTTGAAGTGCAGACCACGTTGCACTGCATACACTGAAGGAGAAAACTCACAGCTCTTTGCCTAGTGTTATGAGTTGGCACCTTGCTGAGCAGTGAAATTACGTCCATCGGCGCATTGGTACAAACCAGCAGTGAAAGGGGTCGAAGAGGAGCCCCTCTAGGAGAAGGATTTGATCTGCTGTGGCTTTGCGCACAGCGAGCGGGACAAGCAGAGCATCTCACCGCTCAGGGCCTTCCCTCCTGTGCAGGGCTAGGGTGGGGTGCCAGCCCTGGTCCGGGAGCCTGGGTGAACCCAGATCCTCCAGCTACAGCTGGGGGGCTCTCCTGCTCTATGCCTCTGCTCCCCTCCTAAAAAGGGGTAGGACACGGATGGACCTAGAGATGATCATACTGAGTGAAGTGAGTCAGAGAAAGGCAAATATCACGTGACAGCACGCATACGTGGGGTCTCAAAAAGAAGGGAACAAAGGAACTGATTCACAAAACAGAAACAGACTCACTGGCATAGAAAGCAAACTTATGTTTACAGAAGGGGAGGGGGAGAAGGATAAAGTAGGAGGTTGGGATTAATATACACATACTACTATGTATGAAATAAACCATGTGCACCCCAATGTTCATTGCAGCACTGTTTATAATAGCCAGGACATGGAAGCAACCTAGATGCCCATCAGCAGACGAATGGATGAGGAAGCTGTGGTACATATACACCATGGAATATTACTCAGCCATTAAAAAGAATTCATTTGAATCAGTTCTAATGAGATGGATGAAACTGGAGCCCATTATACAGAGCGAAGTAAGCCAGAAAGATAAAGACCATTACAGTATACTAACACATATAT